CCCAACCAAACGACTGCTAAAAGGCCAGTCAGATGGTTCCCACTCTCGTACGAGTTTCAGTGACTGTGGGCAGAGCCCTTTCCGTAGGTGAAAGTCACCGCGTGGTTCACGCAGTGCCACTGTTGTCCCTTTTGGCTAATTAAGGGCATGCGGAAAGAAACTAGCATCCTAAAATAGAAATGGCAACTGGCAGTGTTTGATTTCATTGATCGCTTAGAAGCAGAGACGGTCCCAGGCTACGAACCCAAACGACCCCTCCGTTTTGGAGGGAGCCGAGCGGGGGCTTGCAAGCGCCGTCTGGGCTGGTGCCTGCAGCCGGAGGAGCCCACCCTCTGGGAGGTGGGCGGAGGAGGGGGCAAGCTACCACACTCCGGGGGCTGTGGCTGGGATCCCCCCGCCCAGGCCGCATCACCCCGCGTTCGTGATGTACCCGAGAGAAACGCGCGTGGTTTCAGTCCTGTTCTCACTACTACGTTCGCTCTGCCTGAAGCTATCTGGATCCCTCAGACCGGCAGGAATGATACTAAACACTTTGGCGACAGTCGATGCGTGGTTGTTTACTCGTAGTTCCAAGCATCACCTTTGATTTCAAGGGTGGGGATGCCCTAAGAGTTTGTTCCAGAACCAGTTGGTTACAAGTGCACCTCTTATATATGCCTTACAAACTTCAGAGGCCATATTCAAAACAGGGTTTTATCAGTGTATGCAAGGGGGTGCAACCCCTCTTCTCTTCCTCCCCAGGTCAAACAGTATGGACAGTTTTCACACATATCTACCTGTATAACCCTCTGTACCTCTCATAACTGGTCAATGACTGTAACAGGTTACATCAGGTGTTTTTTCTACATACTTTTTACACAAATTCTATGCGATTAATGTAACTTAATTCAATGCATCATTTTATTGTACTAGTTCTTAAGCTTGTCTTTATTTTTTTTCTAGGTGACTGTGGTTTCTTGTGATTTTTATTGTATAAATAAATGAGGTGGCTGTTGATGCTTACTCTCTGTTACTAAGGATTTTTACCTTTTTGGAAGAAAGCGTTGCTATGAACTAATGAATTTAAAACGTCATTTACTCATTGTAAATACAGTATTGTGCAAAAAACAAAAATGAAAAAAAACACCCGACCCTTTTCATTCATTTGAATTGCTAGTGTTAACTGAATTTTGTCTAGACACCATTTCTGTTGATGAAATAAAGACATATCATTATGTATTGTAAATCGACTCATCTTGACTATGAAACTGATGTTGCAGTGCTCGGTTAACGCGCGGGTTGCAGGCGAGGTTCGGGAGGGGAGGTTGGATGTGGTTGATACTGCCCGGTGAATCTCTGGACTGATAAAGAGACCTCCAACTCACGTGGTCTCATTGCTAATTCGCTAGTCGTCTTTCATCCAGGGATCCACTTATCTTTGATCTGCTGCAGGAACAGCCGAGGGTATTTCATTGCAAAGATGAAATAAGTTGTTTTGGAAGATCAAATAAGCTGTATCTATAGCCTAGTGCTTGACTTAAGGCAATTCTGCTAAGTCTTTGTTTTGGTCTTCTAAAGTGTCAGTGTACGGGAGGCAAGGGGAGAGGTTGGGGTTTGTTTCCCCTTAACAGCAAGCCTGAGCGAAACTGAGAGATGTTTCTGTGGAAATAAAATATAGCTGGAAATCTCTGTGTGTAACCCAAATACAGTAGCGTTCCTTTCTGAAGGAAGAACTTGTGCCATGGATGGTTAGCATCCCTTACACTGCAGAAGATCCAGAAAGACGAAATTAGAACGGCCTTCGGTGCTACTACCACTAGCAGGGCACAGGGTCTAAGAGGGGGCGTTTGCTCTCTGGGACTCCCAGATGCCTGGCAGCCACCTCTCTCCTTGGGTTGGATGCATCCTGAGAGCCTGCTCAACAGCATGGCAGGAGGAGACCTGGGCAAGGGGGTTGGCATGACTGGTTGTCCTACCCTGGGCCCCACACTTGCTGGGATGCTGCTGGGGCAAACAGGGAGGAGGGCAAGCTGCTAGAGGATGGTCCCCGTGCTTTTTTATCGGTAGACAGGAAACCCTAGATCACATGCCCTGGGCCACCATCCTTAGGATGCAAACTGCGTCGTCCTCCATCTGCAGCAGTGAAAGTTGCCTGCGATTTTTAGTCATAAAATTCTCATGGAAGAAAGTCTA